AAATAATTAAATTTTCTAAATTGATTAAAAACTAAGTATTTTTTCTCTCAAAATGTTGATATGATTCCTTTCTACTAAAAAGTATGATCTAGCTGTTCTTCAGTTTGCATGGAATAACATAACATAAGGGCCAAATCAGTACCAGTTGCCATCATGTGGGAAGTTTCCACACATGTGATGTGCTGTTCTCACATGCTGGTTTTTTTTAAAGCAGTTTGTTAATTTTCAATAATTTGTATAGTATTTCATGGATTTTGTTCAATTTTACTTTGAAAGCTGCCTCAAGTAGGTTCTCTGGAAAAGCAACATAGAAGTTTTCTAAATAAACAGTTTTGCCATGTTGTACTTCTACCCTGTGGAAGGTATTCAAGAAGTTTCCATGAGGAAGGGACAATGTGATAATTTCCCCTAAAAGCATACCTACAACTGAAAAGAGGTTATTGCAAGCAATTTCAAAAGGAGCAAAGTTCAAAATGTTAACTGCTTTTCTGAAGTTTAAAAAACTGTAACTTCACCCTTGGTAAATATTGTTTAGGAGTACAATAGAGCCCTTCCCTTTAGTTATTAAATTCAGCACTGGAATTGTAGCTGAGAGACAATACTTTCCCTAATCTATGGTACACATTTTATCTGAGTGTCCATTATTGTGGATTTAAATAATTTTCAAATATCCTGAATGGAAAACTCTGTTTAACCCTTATAGGTAACCCCCCCCCCTGACTCCAACAGTCAAGCAGCTTTTCATCAGATTGCCTCACAAGGTAGGAGAGAAAGGAAGCTGGCAAGGCAACTCTGGGTCTCTTGTTCTGAGGCAGTTAACCACTTGTTGAAGGAGTTAATTCTTATCTCTTCTCTTCTTCTTATCTGCCCTTTCCATAACCTCTTCTCTTTTTCTTGTTTGTTTCATTTCATCTTTAATGTCAGCAGTAACAAGTGAGAGAAGTGGGTGTCTGAATGAGATTTAAACTATTTTGGGGTTAGCTCCTGTTTGCAGTGAGCAATTTTCTTCAGGAAGATAGAAAATAAGTGCCCAATCTAACTTGGCCTGCTATCAGTTTTAATTATTAATCACAAGTCACATTGCTATAACATTCTAATGTGAAAGAATGTGAATGTGCAGAACGCCTTTCCCTCCTCCAGTGAATAACCACTGTCAAGCCCCTGTCCTCAGACCCTACTAAATCCGGAATTTTTAAAGTATGGAAAAGACTTCTTAGGTAAAGGTTCCCTTGCTCGAAAGCCAGTCAAGTCCGACTCTAGGGTTGTGGTGCTCATCTCCGTTTCAAAGCCGAAGAGCCAGCGCTGTCCGAAGACGTTTCCGTGGTCATGTGGCCAGCATGACTAAACACCAAGGCGCAGGGAACACTGTTACCTTCCCACTGAAGTAGTACCTATTTATCTACTTGCAATTTTTTGCTTTCGAACTGCTAGGTTAGCAGGAGCTGGAACTAGAGACGGGAGCTCACTCCGTCATGCGGCAACTCGGGTCTCGAACTGCTGAACTACAGCCTGCAGTTCAGCGTCTTAACCACTTGAGCCGCCACAGCTCTGGAAAAGACTTAGACAAATCTAAATTGATAGTTTTTACAGAGCCAAATGGAGGGGACAGAATATCTAGGCAGTCTTAAATGCCCCCTTCACTACAGAAAAATAAAGTATTTGAAAAAATTTAAATAAATCTGAATCAGGAAGTTTTAATTATTGAATCTCTTTTAGTAATAAAAGCATTATTAGCCATTCCCTCTTTCCCAATACAGTTTTTAATGCCCCAAGAATATCTTTTGAGAAGTTTATAGGTACACAAGTTAAACTGACAGAGTTCAGCATTTATATGAATGAATGCTTTCCCCAAAAGTCCCACATGACCATACATGATTATAAACATCTACCAAGCTAAATGGCAAAATAATTGCACAATACCTATCACAGAAGAACATTGGAAGGAATTCTGGAACTCTAGCAGTTTCAGAAATAAAACTATATCATTAACTCTCCAAACTCTGAAAATAACATCTAGATGGTACACTACCCCACAAAAACTTTCCATGATATCTGGGAATTACTCACCATATTGCTGGAAATGGTGTCAGCAAGTTGGGGATTATGCACATTGTTGGTGGAAATGTGAAAAAGTAAAGACATTTTGGCTGGATATATTAAATGAAATTAATAAAATCACGTCGGTACAGGTCCCGTTCTCACCAGAAATTATATTCCTAAATTTGTGGCCTACGACATTAAAATCCAGGGCACACAAAGCCACGATTGAAATAATGTTAGATGCCGCTAAAATAGCGATCGCATCCTGCTGGAAAGATCTCAACGCTCCTTCCTTAGAGCTGTGGTATAAAAAGTTGTGGAATCATTATTTGATGGACGCAGTAACGAGTAAGTTGAACGGTTTAGCACAACGTCCAGTGGAAGATGGGTTTTCGGGCAAGTGGTACCCAGTAATGGATTACCTGTCACAGCAACAGTTTATCTCCTCCGAGTGGTCTCAATTTCACAAATGGATTTGAAGTTTAACTGAGTTATAAATAGTCATTATTATCTAAATCTGTCTAGTTTGTTTTAGTCAATAGTAATTCCAAGGGTTAAAGCTATTTTAGAGTTTACAGGATGCACACAAGAGTTGATATAGAGTGTTTCATATCTATATTCAAATTTAGGGTTGTTTGTTATTAATAGTTGCATGTTTGGGTGGAAAGAGCACAGAACGCTAATGATGTATTTTACTGCATGTATTGGTCACTTGTAATTTGTTGTTGTAATTTTTGTGTTCTACCCTGTCCATGTTTATACTTGAGAAAATGATATAAATAAAGATATTAAAAAAACAAAAAACAAGTCACTTTCCCCTGGACAACTGATGCTATGTCATATTACAGTTATATCATCTTCAAAATCCCTCAACACACATTTTTATATTTTAGGCATTTTAAGTTTGTACTCTTTGTGACTGCACGTTAGCAAACCATAAGACAATGTTCCCCAAGAAGTGTAACAGCAGTTTACAGACTGAATTATAGCTGGATGATACTCACTGACCTCTGGCATTGCTACTCTTCCCATCCCCCATTATATGAAAACCTAAGCTCTTATTGTATGCTTAATTTACAAAGCATTCAGCACCACACATTGCTGCTTTTATGTGATTTAATGTCTTGAATGTTTGGAGGTTTCACACCGTTACTATCCTTAGTACAATCCTAAACAGTTACACTCTGGTAAGGCCATTGACCTCAATGACCTTAGAAGGGTAACATTGTGAGTTACCTACCACATTCCTGGATGAAACATTAGTATTGCCAGTAATGATACTCTTTTTAAAGTCAGTTCATTATTCAAAAGGAGAGGTAAATATCATTCAGAATACACATGAATGCTTAAAGTCCAATCAACATTAATACATCACATCACTTTAAATGTGTGCGTAAGTGCCATCAAGTCTCTTCCGACTTCTGGCGATCCTGTGAATTAATGTTCTCCAAAACATGGTATCATTAATAGTTATTCTTAGGTCTTGCAAACTGAGGTCTGTAGCTTCCTTAATTGAGTCAATCCTGTTTGGTCTTCCTCTTTTCCTGCTGCTTTCAACTTTTCCTAGCATTAGAGTCTTTTCTAGTGACTCTTGTCTTCTCATAATGTGACCAAAGTAGGATAGCCACAGTTTAGTCAGTTTTAGCTTCTAGGGAGAATTGGATCTAAACCCCACTTGTTTTTTTTTGGCAGCCCACAGTTTCTGTAAAACTCTCCTCTAATAGCACATTTCAAAAGAAACTACTTTCTTCTGGTCAGCTTTCCTAATTGTCCCACTTTCACATCCATACATAGTAATGAGGAATACTATGACATGAAATAACTTGATCTTGGTCGCCAGTGACACATCCTTACACTTAAAGATCTTTTCTAGCTTCTTCATGGCTGCCTTTTCCAGTCACTCTCCTGATTTCTTTGTTGATGATGGAACCAAGGAATAGAAAATCTTGAACGATGTCAATTTCTTCATCGTCATCCTTAAACACAGTGGATTTATATTTAGGTTTTTGCTGTTTCAGATTGAATCCCAATTCCCATATGCTTTTTCACCATTTCTGGCTGGCTGCAGGTCACCAAAGGCATACTGTATGTGTTGGCCATAAAAACTGTGTGGTTCAGCTCTTGAGACTGGCAATGCACACCTGCTGCGGGGGGCGGGGGGGGGGCGGACGGAACCAGCTGAGCGTTGCTCGCGTTCTGCAGTGCTGCTGAGTGCACTACTTGTACTAGGCTACCTCGAAGCTGGTCTAAAGCAGCGCTACGCAATGTCAAGCCAGCCAGCCTGAGGAGGCGGGAGTGTGACTTAATAGCAGGCACGTGACCAGATCCATTGTCAATTTACTCGGGTAGGGGGAAGGGCGGGAAACACGAAGCCTGTAGCAAGGGGGCGGGGGAGAGAAGAAGCGCTTCCCGCAGCAGAATAGCAGTCTGCCCCCAACTCTCAGCCTCAGACTCCACCCTTTGATTTGAGTGACAACACGGCGAACGTTTTCGTTTCGGTATTTTGGCCGCCTCGATCGTAGGGACCCAAAGAGGTGGGATTAGCGCTGGCTAATAGTAAGGAACAAATGACCGGGAGGCGGGATTTCTCCCTGAATGACAGCTCAGGAGATAAACAAGCCCAGTGCGAGACTATTTCTATAGCCCGACTGTATCTCACTTTTCTGAAGGCAAGCTGCTGTAATTAAAATAAAGAACAAACTATCTTGATTCCACTTCAAGCTCTGGTTTTGTACAACGTTTGACTCTTCCGCCACTACAAACGTGAAGAGTCAGCAACTTCCCAGCACTTAGGAATTACCGGAGAGCGCGGAGCAAATACGCATGCGCTTCCATGCTATGTTGCTGCAAGCATCTCTGGGAATTGTATTTTTTTGCATCCTAGCTCTCACCGGACATCTTTGAGTCCTCCCTCGTTCCAATACTACCCGACCCAGGATCCCTCGCGACCCTAGCTATTGGAAGCCCTAGTTGAAGCGGGCGGCGGCGGAGCGAACTCTTCACCCCCATCCAAAACAAGGAAATGGTGTCCGGTGTGGTGGGTCGGTGGCTGTGCGTCTAACGCTTCTGTGACCGCTGGTCCTGCCGCCGCATCTTCCCTTCCTCCTCTCCTCCTCCCCTTCCATGGGTGAGAGACATGGACTACGAGTTCAAATCCAAGCTGGCGGCCGAGCGCGAGCGGGTGGAGGATTTGTTCGAGTACGAGGGTTGCAAAGTCGGGAGAGGCACCTACGGGCATGTCTACAAAGCACGGCGCAAGGACGGGTAAGAGGGAAGCGAGTTTCTCTGGAAAGGGGGTGGGAGAGGAAAGGAGGAGGGGGAAATCGGCTGGAAGATGAGAGTGTGAGGAGAAGTTTCGCTACACCTTAAGCGGTTGCTGTCATTGGTTGCGACGGGTCGGCCACTCTATTATTTCCCGCGCCCCACCTCCTCTCCTCCTCCCGCCAGAGGCGGTTGGGGGCGGGAACAAACTTCGTCCCGCGCTGACAAACGCCTGCCCGGTCTCGTGCCGGTACGGTGTGAAGGCGGGTTGGGGCTGAGTGTAGGTGTGTGCAATTTGGACGTGAGGCTAGGGGGTTCGGCTATGTGGCTAGGCTCCCTTTC